TAAAAATATATGTAAATAAAACAAAAACATTTTTAAAATATTACGCGTAATTGTTGCATCATTTTCCCGAATTACATTTATTTTTATTTCATTTCACTAATTAATATTTATATATTAGTATATTATTGTAAATATACTTGGTAGATTTAAAAACAGTTAGTCATTCCTAAAATGAATCACTCGTTCAATAAAGTACGTCATTCTTTTCTAAAACTTCATACATTTACATTATATATTTATACATATTATACATATTTGATTCTCGCATTTATTAATTGTCGGTAAGATTTCGGAAAAGTTATAAATCAATATAATTTAACGATCATGAATCGGCCAATTACTGATTGTCTATAGTCACATCACATTCGCATATTTAATTGCTTTCAATTCAATGCTTTGTCTGAATAAATGATCGTGATCATAAAGATAGTTATGATGATTTATTGATACATTAATCCAAACGATCATCGATCATTCTTTTATATTTTGACAACATTATTTTTTCATTATTAATAAAAAAATCAAATGAATGTAATCTATCTAAGCTACTTTCAATTAATTAAAAAAATGAAAATGAATCTATTTACAATTATTTATATTTAATCATTGCTACTAACTATATTGGTTTATTTTTTTTTATTTTTCTTCCATTATTTTTATTTTTTAACATGTTATCAATATAATAATATTTATATGAAAATTATTCATTATTATCTTATTTATTCCGAATTAATATTCAATATTTATTTGTTATTTTCTAGCATAAGATTATAGTAAAAATTTAAAATTAAGAGAATAAATTAATTCATTAAATTTACTTGTATAAAAATATATGTATTTTTTTAATGTACTGCATGTTTAAGTATGCTTAAATCGTGTGAAAAATATTGACCAAAAGACAATGAAAAGAATTTATCGATAAATAATACATTTCGTTCCCGTGTATAAAGGTCACCATATATTAAATAAATAATGTTCATCTATTTATTATTTTTTAAATTACAATTGTAATTTTATATCGAAATTTAACTTTAAAAGTTAAATTTTTAAGTTTTAATTTTATTTTGTATGCACTAATGTCATAAATTAATAAATTTATTATCATTATTAATAAGTAATGCATTATTTTTAATGTATTATTTAAATTAATGTATTATAACTTGTGATTAAATTGCAATTCTAAATAAATTTTTAAATTACTGTATATATTTAAAAATAACTTTAAATTTTGCACAAATAAAATAAATTTAAGCATTGTTGATCGCATATTTATCGTGAATTTAGAGTGCGAATTTATATTAGTGTTAATATATACGATTGTATATATGATATATACGATATTATATTATAATTTTGATATGAATTTCAGTATTAATATCTAAATATAATGTTCATTTATTTCGATAAATATGTATATAGATATCGTAATGACCGCGAAAATTCGAATTATGAAATTGTTTTTAAAATTGCCTAATAATTATATGTATTAGAGATTACAGTCATTAGAGATTGCTTTGAAGAGATAATATTTCTATTTCTCTGATATTGTTATTGCTGATTTAATTGCAATAATTTTCTTTCCAATTTTTTAAAAATCAAATATGTTCAATATAAATTTTTTTTATAAATTTATTTATAAAATTTTATTTAAATAAACTGATAAAAACAATTTGAAAATCAGATTACGAATTCAAATTTAAGATTTTTTTTAAAATTATTCACATTGTTCTTAAATTAAGTGTCCAAAGTAAATGGCCAGTTTATTTAAAGTACGAAGAATCAATTTACACTTGGATTAATGTCAAAAAAACATATTTAGTTTAATTTTTGATTTTCCTTACCTTTCTTAGCCGAGCGTCGTTTCGCTCGACGTACACGTTTTCGATTTTGTTTCCGATAAGATTTGATATGTGCAACGAACAAAAATCAACTGCACTTTAGAATGAATCCGGCAAGTAGGGAGAATGAGTGAAGATACACACACAAAGAAATGGTTTATGTCCTCGTTTAGAACACTTCTATTTTAGAAGAAACCAAAACTTCAATTATAGGGGTTAAAGTTTATTATAAAAAAATATACGACGAATTAATCGAATATAATCATATATACATAATAAATCGACTTTTATCTCACTATAAATGATACATAAAATATTGTTCATATACTATATGATTATTTGTACAAAGTTCGCACGATCTAAATTCTTTCACATCATTCCACTTGCCTCTATTTGCGTACTATAACGTATGACGTGACATACAGTCATCGAAAATATATGTTAAAGATCGTACATCTTCTAACGATTTTGTGATCTTTGCTAGTAGAAATAGCATGAGCAGATAAAAAAGTAATGTAGAAATCTGTATTTCATAATTTTATTCATTTTTCTATTCTAACATAATGTTTTAAACGTATATATTTATATATGTATCATAGATGAGATATAAAATAGAAGAATCATTTCATCACGATTACATAAGAAAAATCATTTAATAAACATTTTCTTTAATTGAATTTCGAAAAATTTAAAATATCTTTATCATTTTAATATCATTTTTGATATTACCGATGGAAGATAGAATAAAATTACAATATTGATAATGGCTGAAAATTAAATAACTGTAAAATTATAAATAAAATATATAATATAATATCTCATAATCCAATAAATTATACTATTATGTAACAAAGTTAATAAGAAATCAACATCATTTTTTGAGCGTATGAATTTTAGTATTAAGATGACATTCTATAAAGAATTTTTTATTTCTTTTCTAGAGAATTAGAAATAAGGAAAATAAATAAAAAAAAAAGAACAAAAATAAGTTAAAAATAGTGAAATTAGCGCCATCTCTGAAGTGCCTTAAATGAAACAAATATAGATAAGAAGAGTAAATAATAGAAGAAGGACAGATATAAAATAAGAATTAATTATCAGTGCCATCTTTAAAGTTCCAAAGAAATTTTTTTAAAAGAAGTTAAAATTGGATAAGAATTGACCATCAGCGCCATCTTCTGAAATTTTTTAGAAATATATATTTACATTCAAGAGATGTCGCTAATCTTTAATTCCTATCGTATCTTACCTTTCTTTACTCAGATATTTTTAACGAGATATCAACAGATAGTGCTAATTAAAATTTTATTCTACACAACAATTTCTTATTCTATCCTTCTCTCATTAATAAGAAATTCTATGAAACTTTATAACTATATACATTTAAAAATATCAGTCTTAAAAAAGTTTCTTATTTCTTATTTAATATAATGTAATCTAATATGTAAAATATATGCACAAAATTAAATCACTTAAAAATATATTTATATATTTATATAATATATTATATTATATTAAATATATTATATATTTATATATTTATATATATATTCTATAAATTTAGAAATTGAAACGAGAATATCATTTTAATAATAAATTTCTACTTATAAAAAATATAATCATGCTTGCATCTGATTAGTTTATATTATTTCTTATAAAATATATAATTGTACCATTAGTTTATTAGACAATGATATAATATTGTTATATATTAAATAATAATGATAATAATCATTTGGTTGCTGAATTAGAGATTTATTCTGATCACAATGTTCCATCTATCATAATATATATTTATAAAACATTCAATTTTTTTATCGTTGTTGCATAAACAGCAAAAAAAGCTTTGTAATAAGATGAATTAATACTCATTGTCACTATGCGAGCATTAGATCAACCCTGTTGATCGCCTTTAAAATGAATCTTTAGAATTCTTATTATCCTTATTAATAATAATTGAAAGAACTTGAATCAATGAATATCGTTTATTTTTTTGTAAATTTTATTTATTTACTAAATACAAAACTATTTTCATTTATATCACATAATAAACTATAGTACACATACTGGGAATGATGCAAGATCTTATCATAAATATTATTTAAAAACATATATTAGATTCATGTAACGATTTTTCTTGTAAAATGCATAATCTACAGAAAAACAAAAAAAAGAAAAAAAAAAAAAAAAAAAAAAAAAAAAAAAAA